AGTCTACCTGAGCACAGGTGAGTCCCGTTCACCAGCCTCACAGAGTCTGCAGGAGGAGACGGTGAGATGGAAGGTCATGAGATTCAATATTTGTAAAAATGACATTCAAACTGATTTTGCTCCATAATATTCCCACATCAGTGATCAGTGGTGATTGAAAAAAAAACAGGGCAGCTCCTTCCCCCCAACCCAGAGGGAACAAGCCATCGGTTTCCGGCAGAGAATCATGGCCTCGGACTTGTAGGTGCTGATTCGCATCCCTGCACACTGCTCCAGTGCTGCTGAACGTCTGATGAAGCCAACAGAACCACATCCCCCTGCATAAAGCCGAGATGTGATCCTGAGGTCCCCAAACGCCCTCCTCATCCCGGCTGCACTTTGAGAGCCTGTCCATGAACACCACAAACAGCATCAGAGCAGGTGGAGCCCAACACCAACGAAGTCCAGAGCCTTTCAGCATCTCGGGCTGAATCTTATCCACACCTGGCATTTTGCCACCAAGAAGTTATTGACTATCTCTGCAACCTATCCCACAGATATGGACGAAGATTCCCCCAAGCCTTCAGCTCTGCCTCATCAGCGGTAGATTTGTTTACCGGGTTCAGGAGTTCCTGGAAATGTTCTTTCCAAGGGCCAACAATGTCCCCAGTCTAGGTCAGCAGTTCTTCCCCTCGACGGTACGCAGCCTGGGCCAAGCCCTGCCTCCCCTTCCTGAGGCGTCAAACTGTTGACCGGAATATCCTGGAGAGCAACCAAAAGTCTTTCTCTCTTGCCTCTCTGAACTCCTCCCACACCAGAGTTTTAGCTTCTGCAACCGCTGCAGCCCCTTTGGCCGACTGGTACCGGTCACCTGCCAGCTGCTTCGGGAGACCTCTGAGCCAACTAGTCCCGAAAGGCCTCCTCCTTCAGCTTGATGGCCTCCTACACCGCGGTATGCACCGGGGGTTTTTTAGGTTGCCGCTGCGACAGACACCAGTGACCTCCAGGCCACAGCTCCCAACAGTCGCTTCTGCAACAGAGGCTTTGAACATGGCCCACTCGGACTCCATGTCCCCAACCTCCCCCTGGATGCAAGAGAAACTCTTGAGGAGGTGGGAGTTGAAAACCCCATGGACAGGGGC